AGATATATATACGGGGTCATCTGTGAGAAAATGTGGTCTACCTTGGAGTCGCCACTAATGATAATAAGAACTGAACTCCTTAAATATAAAGAAACAAGTAGAAGAATACATTCTCATAAATGAAACTTTAGTCAATATAAGAAAAAAATTAGTAAATTAAATGAAAAATGTTTAAGCATAATAGAAAGGTACACAAATCAAAAGATCTCTTTGTAGACTTCAAACACTTGTGCTGAAAACAACCTAAGTGAGAGTACACAATCACAGGGAAAGCTTGTGAACTAGCGAGACATTATGTCACCTGTGATGCTAAATGCTAAATACCACGTTCCTGATGTTGTTCATATGCCATCTCTCATTCAGAGTTGATGGATGACCATGAAAGCTGTTCACAATGTGTTCTATAGGTCAATCCATTAATGCTGCAGCCTTCACTCTACGAGGCCAAAGTCTTTAAACTAAACCTCGCTGCCCTGCTGTTCGTGCAGAAATGGACTGTTAATACATGAATTGTACATCATAAATTCTTCAGCAAGATGATCAAACCTTCTTGATCTGGCTCTTTGCGGGAGCAAAGTCAGCTTGTAGATTTAGGCAACGCTGGAACTGGACGAGGGCCTCCGCCTGCTGACCCATTTCCAGCAGCACATTCCCTTTACGAAAGAAGCCCTGCACAAAGAGAAACACAAGATCAGCACATCGCTGCCTGTAAGAGTGATCGACAGCTCTACAGCATTAAAAAAAAAAAAAACTAAACGCAGCTTATCTCTTTCACTTCTTTTGCACTAAATGTCACTTATATCATGCATTGTTGGCCAGCTGCCAATAGCAGCAAGTGAACAGTGAAACATATGGAAACTTTCAGAGTGATATAACACACCCCTCATGTCAATAACAGTGATTCCATACAGTCCACATTTATGCATTTGCAGTGAGCCGCCCACTGGCATCAAGAGAATAAATGACATTATGACATAAGTAGCTGTTTGCATAACTTTGTGAATGACATAACATCAATAAAAGCAGAGGTAATCGCTTTAAGGGGGTCAGCTTTCCAGGCCAAATAATATATAAAGACACAATTAAAACATGACTTTCTTTATGGATGTGAGTGTCATTACATGCATGTTACAAAACCAAACACTCGAGTGGATGTTGGGTAAAAAAGGACATGAAATGACGGCGTTGAATGTGGGTTGTTGAAGGATTATTTGTGTTTTTGTTGATTTTCAGAAAGTACGCCTGACGTAGTGGGTCTTAACTAACACTTTCCCCATCCCTCACCTCAGTCCAGTTAGGACGAAGGCAGCAGAGGTAGTCGAGGTCGGTCAGAGCGTCGGAGAAACACATCAGTCCCCTGTTGGCTTCGGCTCTGTACACCTTTAAACTCTGATCATCTGGGACTGTGGACACAAAGCAACAAGGAGAGAGAGAGGAAGGGACAGTGTTGAATAACCGCTGCAGAGCTTCAAAGATTACATTGTATTTAAAATGTGCATGCAAACATTCAACATGTAATGATTGATGAGCATGGAGGAGCCTGCATCACCAATAGTTCTGCTTTGACTGACCTGACATTCATACTGACCTTATTTAAAAGGATCATGCCACTGCAGGTCACGACTGATCCATATTAACTTATTTTATAAGTCACAGTTATTATAAAAGTGTAACCATCCTATTTCTGTATAAGCTTTCTAGAACAATATCTTTGAAAGTTGCACAGTCACTAGATTATGCATCTGTGCATTCCAGGTTCAGAAAGTGACTATTACCTAAACCCTGCTGCTCCAGTCATTGGTCATGTTTACTGATATAATTAAGACCTTAAGGACACAATACATGTGCTTAGTAATGCACCACATTAGACGCTGAAACATTAGAACTTAAAAGCATCAGAACACAGCCTCAAAAAGGCAGATGACATAAGAAAAAAAACAGAGGTACACAAATGTGTTGGGATATCATTACACAAGAAGCAGGAGGGCAGGAGCAGCGAGGCAGCAGTGTTTAATTGGATTGGCAGAGATGGCAAACATGAAGGTAATTTAATGGAGCGCTGATTCACTTCGGTAACAATCACTCCTACAAACCCGAGGACGCCTACAGACTACATACACTCATGTAGGGCAGAAGTAGTCCCTTTTTTTTTTACGTCCTTGCTGCTGCCTGAAGAAAATAAGGTCAGGTGCCACGAAGGCAACTCAAAGTGTTGAGAATCTCTGTGCAGATAAGAGTTTCTGTTACAATCAAGGCATTTAGCCATGGCATTATTACAACACATGCTCTTAGACATCCCATGCTTTTATAAACATGACTAGACAGCAGAACAAACACAGCGCTTGCTCAGAAAAGATGCATTTCCTCTGCCTTTATCCAATAGATTTTTTTTTTTTTTTTTTTACAGTAAACAGCTGTTATTGCTGCATCTTATATCCTACTGTGTGTTTGCATGGTGAGAAGTTCAAGTGTGAAACCAGATTATTGCTTAAATGTTTTAGGCTATAGGTCTATATCTTTCTTTAGCTGCTTATACCATTATTTAGAGTTGTTTAATCTAAAGGTTTCAGAGTGCACACAGACAAAAAACAAAAACGAGCATCTGGAGATTGTTTACTGACCCACTTATACATTTAGGTCATCAATAGCCTCAAACAGTAGATACAATGAGTCCCACTGCATCCTAGCTCCCTCCTGTCATTACACCTCCAGTATCTCACTGCTGTGCACAATATGTCAGTGTTAAGAAGTGCAGGATGGGATGCACTATCAGTCACTATCACTGAACACCAGCCGAGACAACTGCGAGCAGTGCGTAAAAGTGCGACTCCAAAACGGCCGGCCTGCCTCCTGACTCGAGTGTGATGTAAGGTAAAGAATGTGTAACAGCTGTGGTGGGGGCATCCTTTCACGCACTGTGTAATTAGCCAAACAAAGCTGCATTTCACCATTAAAAGTGATGTCTTGCACGTTGACCCTTACCTATGTCTAGCCCCTCGTTGGTGATGCGTAAAGCTTCAGTGAACTCGTTGGACTTCAGCTTCTCCTGTACATGGCACTTCATCTTGGTCTCGTCGGGGCAGCACTTCTCCACGACACTTATCAGCAGGACGTTGTTCTTCATGCTCTTCACCTCTCGCTGTTTTAACCTCTCCTTGCACGACGGGCATTTGGACGGTAGGAAACCCCCGACGCACCTCCGGCAGTACGTGTGGCCGCACGACATGGTCACCGGCTCGCACATCAGGAAGAGGCAGAGGGGGCACTCCAGAAGATCCATGGTGGATGGGGTTATGTCACCAAAACAACGTCCAAGTGGGGACGAATGTGTGGCTTTTTTTTCGTCAAAGCAACGCGGGCGTAGGAGCTTGTTCCGTAAAGTGCTGCATGGACCATTTAAATAACACGCTGACAACAAGCGATACAGTAAATGTGTCCCCACTCCGTTCACATCTGCTCGAACCAGACCCGATTCTTTCAAGCTTAGGATACGGGTAATTTGAGCTCACAAAATGCTCACCTCACAAATGTCCCTTTCGTGTTGAATTTATCCATTGAAATGATCAATTTCAATACCAATAGACTTTGGTTTGAGACACATAAACGTCTTCCCTTAAGCACAGGTTGTATAAAAAAGAGCTCACAGTTCAATGCGACGCTTTCCTAACTCAACCAACACAACGCGACTCACGCAGGAATATCTACACATTAGTATGAATCCTTTTTTAGTAGTCCATGTCCGCGTTTAACCCCTCTAGCGACGTCTCCGCGACCAGAGCTGGGTTACTGTGTAACACCATTACATTACATAAATAAAGACCACGTGACGCAGCAGCGCGCAAGCCCATTGGACGGAGTGATGGCTTTCCGCCCTGTTGTGAAACACAAGGATGCCGAGTTTCATAACGTCATTTCTGCGACAAAACTTTTGTCTTTTTAAATCAGTTAAATTAAATGACATGTGAGAAACTTAGTCGGTAGTGTGGTGAGACATGTCCAAGAAAAGAAATGACTTAGCGTTGCTGCAGTGAGTGGAAACTACCCCTCAGTGTATGTAGGGAATCCCAGCAGGGGGGGAGGGGGGGGGGCAGAGTGATGACATAAACCCATATCCTAATTTTTTAACATGCTTACACAAGGAACTTATGTCGGCTTAATTACACATTAGCTTGCAACTATTGACAAGAAATAACATTCAGACATGTCAGGCCACAGTGCTGTGGAGCACCTGAGTGTTTCAAAATCTAATATATTTGTTAAACAAGTGTATGCATGTCAAGTGAAGACACCAGCCTCGGTCAAAGAGACGCTGATGGAGCCTGGTGTTCATTCTTGGATTCACATTTGTTTAGTTTGCTTCCAAACAATCCATAACCTTCAGTGTGAAATGCACACTTGAAATAGTCTGTACAAAAAACTAATGACACATTTTTCTCACATAGCCTTTCTGAGAGTCTATTTTACATGTTGGAACAGCTTCTACTTGCAAAGCACCTTATTTCTGTTGTACAACACTGAAGTACACGTGTCAGGCTTATACATCTGAAGAGATGGATCAATCTACCTGTAGTCACAGATGTAAACATGTCAATAATCAGGGGCTAGTGCCTTAAAAACTGTCATGAGTGTCTTTATGCAAAGTTTAGCCAAAAGGGGCTTTACTCTGCTCTGCATTGCAATAAAGAAATTAGGATCATTTCAGGAGTGGGATGCTTGGTAGAGTAAACCTTATTTAACAAGAGTTTCTACAATCACCTTTCAAAGGAACAAAGCAACAACACAGTGCTATCATAAAAACATGAGGTTAAAGGGATTGAGGAGTGACTATTTAACTACAGTCCACACACGATGACCTTACCATTACAACTCAATCTGGATTAAAGACCGTATGAGTCACAGTGACAGAATACATAACTGAATGTCAGCGCACATAATATTCACATAACATGTTGATGAAGTTTCCCTAAAAACATTCATAGATTTCATGAACACGATTGGGCTTTAGTTGAAAATCAATTTCATTGTCTTTATTGGTTTTATAACAAAAAACTGAAAATTGTAATCCAAGGTAATCTGTTCAATCACTCAAAATTCTCCAAATGTCTGCTCAGGAAAGTCTTTATAATATCTGCACGGTAGGTTAAATAAAAGGAACAGGATGTCGAACCTTATGAAAACATAGCAAAGCTCTCCACACGTACAATAAGTACAGCAAATAAAAGACAAACACTGATAGCAGTTCAATTGTACAACAAGAAACAAAACCACTCAACAGATAATTAAGCAATATCATCGATAATACTACACATGGCAGCATCCTTGTCCAACATTTTGTCCCTCTTTGAGGTAGGGATGCTCTTCTCCTGGGGAACTGCTGCCATACAACTGCCCCCTGCTTCCTCTACATCCATTGGTTCAGTTTTCAGCCTGGGGGCTTGTCCAGAGGAACAACCCACACTGGCTGCTGCAGTCCTTGTCCCATCACCGGGAACATCCTGACCCTCTACCTGAGGTAAGTCGTCAGGTAAGGAAGCAAGGCAACCCTGGATCATCTCCACCACCCTCTCCAGATGTTTCTGGAATCTCTCTGCCGTCTCCAGCCGTTGTCTCTTCTGCACCTCCATCATCACCCTTAGTGTCTCCCTGGCTTGATGTGGCCTGTACTCATTTATTAGGTGGTGCATATGGACGAACAGAAGCTTTAAGTCCTCCAGCTTCTCTTCACGCTTTATACTGCCGGGGCTCTTGATGAGGATGTCCAGAAGATCCAGAAAGTTCACGAGGATGGACATGTTGAGCTTCTTGAGCTCACGCTTGTGGTCAAACTGCATAGGATGGAGCCTCTCGATACCTTGGCTCTCCAGAGGCCGGATGATGAGGTCATCACACTGGAATTGGTTGCCGAACATCATGTAGCTGTCTCTGATGGGTGGAGGGGGTTTAGGGACCAGGCCCTTGCGGATGTTTTCATCTGTGTACTCTTTGATGTACTGCATAGGGGGAGGAGGCAGAGCGCTCACCTGCTGTGGTTCACCCATGATGCTGACCTGAAACAAGGACACAGAATGATCAACACTGTGTTTCTGGAAACATCTGCGATATCATGAGCAAAAGAAACCAATACATGAAGGTAGCAAAACAAACGCTAAATATGCTGTTTTACAGGTTTTTAAACATTACATGACTTACAGTAAAATAAAATAAAAGGTTGTATAAGGACATATAGTTTGATTTAATATCAAAAGCTCCAAAAAAATACTGTTTATTGTTTGAATACTCTGCTTATTGGTCACTAGGAGCGTTTTTGAAGCGTACTTAGCTATTCGGCTAGTTTGCCGCTAGTAGCATTACTGCTAATATGCTATAAAGAGTAACGTAATAAAACTCGAATTTCCGGTCACCAAAATATAGCGATGATACAACTACACACCTTTTACAGAGATCTCCTCTCAGTTGTTGAGCGTAGACTTGAGGTATTTTAATGTAAAAGAGGTATCTAACCGGACTTTTAGCTCATGACTAGCTTAGCTGCTGACATGAACGACTGCCGTTTCTGTCACACATTCCATTGGCTGACCTGCACACGTGACGATTTTTCGACCGTTCTGATTGGACCGCAGCTGATCAATAAACCTAGCTCGGATTGGTCGTAATTTTTGGACGGGAGACGATGGATGATTTTTGTATTTTTGTTTGGACGGCTTATTAGAAAAGGTATACTCACTTTATGCTCTTTGTAAAAATTATGTTATCACATTTAAGACATTGTGTTTTTATTGTTTTATTACTAAGCTAAGCTACACTAAATATTTTCAACAAGAACTATTAGAGTCAGGGAAATAAAAGACAGGCAGCATTCGAATATTATTCGAACAATTGTTTTTTTCCTTGTTTTATGTCCGTCATTTATGTAGGCCTTATAAAGTTAAAAGTCACTAAAAAAAACACTGTCTTCTTGTGCCAAATCATCTAAACAAACAAACAACAACAAAATAAAAAATAAAACACTTACAAACTTCTTATTGTTTGTGGATGCCAACAGGGATGTTGTTTTCTAGGCCATCAGGAAGCCTTGTTTTTCTATCTGGAAAAGGTTATTATATGTCTGTATGGATGGGTACAGTTCTTATTCCTTTAATCTGTCTCTACATACATGATAATAATGTGATACAAACTTATTTTTGATCTTTTCCACAATGCAATCACCTTTCTGTGTTGTGTTGCTTTGTTTGAGACACATAGCTGTTTACTAACACTTTAACACTAATACATTCATCAAACCTACAAGACAACAATCCCAACTAACTCAGTCAACACCATTCCCCTTCATGGTTTATTGAAAGCAACTTTATGATCATATGAAAGGAAGCAAAGTTGTTTTTTCTCCTATACCCCTGCTCAACAGAAGTTATAATTTAATTTACAATTAGAATTTGTGTGTGATAATTATCAGGATGTATGATGACAGTCAAACTGTATTCAAGAAACAATGGAAATTCTAAAAGAATACAGGCAAAACAATGTTATGAAATATAGGACCCCAAGTCTTCAGAATATACCTGGCAATGACTTTTATTGAGTTATTTTTGTTTTAGTTAGTTATAAGCATAAAGTGGTTGTTGATTATATAATGTAGTGCAAATATGTCCCGAGCAAAACTTTGCATTATTATAGATTAGACTTTTTTCTGCCGGGCCCTTTGGCAGATAAAAACGTTTTTAATATATATCAACATACACAATATAACATAATATATACAGGAACATATTCCTGTAGTTATAGAATTGATCTCAAACATTGGCTGCCAAAAGTACAGAACAGCAACTTTAATGTGTGACAACAAACTGGAATAACTTACAATCCACTTTTAAAGAGGAAGGAACTTTAAAGTTAAACTGTGACATAAAACCTCCAAATTTGTGACGTCTGGTAAAAATTCATTATTAGCCTTACGTTTACCTGGAAGTACCTACATTTGTTTGCTAGCAGTGAAAAATGCTGTGCATTGCTTTTGTTAAGCCCCCCCCATCAAAACTCTGCGACCCCCCTAGGGCTCCCGCGCCCCACTTGAATCACTGGATTAGACTTTTGTCCCCAAAGTGCTTTTATTTGATTGAATATTTTCAAAAGTAAAGAGATTGAATAAAATCCACCTCCCACGAGCACATTCAACACTCTGCCTTATTGCAACATCAGTGAAAGTACATGTGAGTGCAAGTGTAGTTTGTATAAGTGTGTGTGTGTGTGTGTGTGTGTGTGTGTGTGCGCGCGTGCGTGCGCGTGCGCAGGTGTGTTTGTTTGCTTGCACAACCCATTTCATGCCGTGGATGTGGTTTACAGAGTGCAACAACTTTGTGCCGGAAGCTCCACAGCTTCTATCAAGTCACTTAAAAAAAAAAAAAAACTGTCTCGACAAGGTGCTCAGTCTCTCTCTCTCAGGGAGCCCAAAACCCCTCCATTATCTGACACCGTGTGTTTTGTTTCTGTTACTATGTTCCCCAGGGTGATTTTGAAGGGAACAATGATTAAAAAATCTCAACAAAAGAAAAGAACATCGCCGAGCAACTACAAGGAGAGGCTTTTTGTATTGGACACGCAGGAATTAAAGTATTCTGAACGCCGCACAGGGGTGAGTGATTGTCCTTTTGTCTATACGGTGGCTTTAGAAATTAAACCTACAGTCTAGAAGCTCTGTACACTTTGACTTCTGTAAAGCATGTTCATTTGAATCCATATCCTTTATACTGTTATAAAAGGAATCATTTTTCTCTCAGAAAAAGCCGATGGTGAAAGGTTGCATTAAGCTGAACACAATCAAGTGTGCCGAGACTGTGTTCAGTGATGTCCCAATACCATGCAACTACAAGTACCCTTTTCAGGTCAGTTGACATTTTATCATAGCACGCTTGCTGATAATTAAATAAAGCGTCATTGATCGTAAGTATAGCGTACAAACAAGCTATATGGGTATGACATGCCAAGAAGAAGGGATTTTCTCAAATGTAAATGTCTTTGCAGGTTTTTCATGACAACCACTACCTTTACATATTTGCTCCAGATAATGATTGCCGTCAGAGATGGGTCAGAGCTCTCAAAGAAGGTAAACAATTAGAACATCAGGCTTCAGAAAGCAGGTCATTGTAAACCCATGATTGAACAGAATTCATAATCATGCCTTTGACATTTTCACTATATTGTGCCTGAACAACAGAGACGAAGCATAACAATTTAGTGGCTAAATTTCACCCAAACTTCTGGATGGATGGGAAATGGAGATGTTGCCTACAAACAGAGAAACTGGCAGCAGGTTGCCATGTGTACGACCCAGTGGGTTATGGTTTGTATTTCTTTTTTTAAAACTTCTTTCCTTGTTTCTTTTGGGAGGTATTGAAAGTTTGTTCCTGATTTATTAGCTCATCTGGATGTAACAGTTAATCTCATACGAGCAGACACTTCTTCAACATGACGGGGTACAATCTGTATCACGATCTTAATTCAGTGTTTGTTGCGTAATTTAGTGTCCTATAAAATCCTCTTTAAGTGCTGCTTACCGCAAATGAATGTTCCCAACAAGTTCTCAAATTAGTCTGTCTCATTTCTCCACAGCTTCTAAAAAGCCACTTCCTCTCCTTCCCGATCCAGAGGTACGGCTTGTTATTTATAAATATGATGGAATAATATTAAAGTTATAGTTCTTACTTTCAAACCACAAGACAGAACAACTGTTTTTACATTTATTTTGTTGCTTTTTTGCTACAAGTTTCAAGCCTATCAGAACTGCTCTACATGTGATGAACATTTTAACACATCTCACCTCAGATAAGATTAGATTAGACAACATGTGTTCACTTTTTTTTCTTTAAAAAATGTGCATTGCCTTTTAACAAATGTACGAATGGTCTGAGAACAAATGATTATGTGTCTTTGCTGCTCTGTTAGTTACATGTTATTGCTCATATATGGCGATTATAGGCCTCCTCTTTAGCTGGTCAAATACGAGTTGCAAAACCGAATTCAAATTGTTTTCCATCCTATGTACATATTTTGGTCTGTGTCACTTGAAGAACATGTAAAGTGTAAAAACGGCCTTGTGTTGTAAAATATGAAGAATTATGTGTTCTGAAAACACAATGCCCGTGTGTAGATGATTTATTTTTTTTCTCTCTGTTGTGTCCACCAGTTGGAAGTTCATGGTGAGGCACAGAGGACAGTCATCGCTTTACAAGACTACACGCCGCTGGGAGACGATGACTTGCCTCTTCAGAAAGACCAGGAGTACAAACTGATAAACAGCTCACACTCTTATTGGTGGGCTGTCGAGGATGACAGAAGGTAAAATACAAGTCTTAGAATGATAGAAGAATGATTGTAAGTGTGTGATTTATGTCAACTTCTTTACTCCTAATCAGGAACAGAGGCTTCGTACCCAGTACATATGTAGCCATAAAATCTGGAAACAACTTTGAGCGGTTTGGGTGAGTTTGATTTAATATCTTCTTTTATGTGAGCCTCTGCTAATCCATTTACTACTGCAGAGAGTGGATTTATTTGTGGTTTCATTTGTCTTCTCACAGTTGGTACAACAAAAACATAACCAGAGGGGAAGCCGAGAGATTGTTAATAAAAGAGGTAAAAAATAATTTCATTGTTTAAGGATGCAGTAATTATTCAAATTGATTTGTTTGCGCTTCCAGCTGCGGTTTGACAGTAAAAAAAAAATGTCCCAAATAATAATTCTGATGATAACTAGCAGGATGTTGCTCCTGTGTGACGCTGCGCTGTTTTGCTTTGACTGTGCACCACCTACAGCACTGTTGCAATTGCAAAAAAATTAATGCAAATGCACCTGCGCAACGAGAATCCAACACATGACATAGGGCATAAAAAATGTCTCACAACCACAATGTTTCCCCCAAAGCTGAATTTCCTGCTGTAAAAAATGCTTTGCTGCGTTTTGTAAGCAGGAGGAAGAACAACCTTCCAACAACACCAGAATATCACCAGGCAGCTTGTAACTGCAGCTTGAACACTCAGTGTGTCTACATGTGATGTGTGCATTAGAAATGTTTTCTTTCACGTGATTTTTTAACACATATTCAACGCTGTGCTTTTAGGGAAAAGAAGGTGCGTTCATGGTGCGTGACTCGAGGCAGGCGGGAGTCTACACCGTGTCAGTCTTCACCAAGGCACCGGGGTAATTTGACTTCCTTCATGCTTATCTTACTGATATGAAATAATCAGATCATAGCTGATAACATTTGACTGAATCGTGTAGTACAGCCTTTAGATACTGGCAGAATGATAAACATTTTACACTTTGTGCCACACACGCTTCCTCTGAAAGTGTTGCATGAGTCTATTTGCATTAAAGCGTTTTCTCTTCAGGTCAAATGGGGAGAAGAACCCGCGAGTGAAACATTACCAAATCAGACAGGCAGAAACAGGAGAGGCAACATATTACTTGGCAGAGAAGTACCTGTTCGGCACCATTCCTGAGCTCATCCTTTACCACCAACACAATGCTGCAGGTTTGGTGCATGATACAGTTACAGTCTCAAACAACTGTGGAAAAGAAGGGC